ACAAAAAAGAACAAACACACCAATCCCTCCAACAGTGACTAAAATCCATAAATAATTAAAAGATACATTAAAAATGTTCTAAAAACCCCCTGTATATTTTAGCAATATTCTTCCTCACACTAAAAGCAAGCAGGCAGTATTTTAGAAGGCATATGAACAAGGAGCATAATATAATAATATATATAATAATAGCAAGGAGGAGGAGGAGCAGGACCAAGAATCCCACAGAGTGACATAGGGAACACCCTACTGGGTACATGGGTTTCAAAAGATAACACCAATCTGACTACCAAAGGATTTTTAATCAAAATTCAAATACTGCACAACATTCAGCTGTCATATCTATTTTTCCAGGTTACAATCTCTAAAAATGCTTTATTGGTAAAACACCTCCTCATTATACGGAAAAGCTATACTGCCTTGGCAAATTTCACATTACAGTAAAGAAAAACAGTACAGCACTCTCAAACACCACTGAAAAACTAACCAGAAACATACCACAGAGAATTTAATAAAACCAAGGACCATTCTTCACACTTTACTTCCTAAGAATGGAATCCTAAGAAAGGCATTTTTTTACTCCAAAAATAAATTTTGTCACCTTTATCAAAGAATAGGCAATAAGTACGCAAAGTGTGACAGCTGTTATAACAACAGAGGAGAATTACATGAAGCATGCTTCAAACAAGCTTAAAGCTTTTATCACCATCTGCAAATGGGATCATGGGGGAACCATTTCAATACTTCATTTATTCTCCAATGCATTCTGATTAAGAGACAAGCAATGCTGATTTTGGAATGGTTGCTGTTACAGTCTTGATTAATTAAAATGATTCCAGTTTAAGCTTATATGCTTATTCAAAATGCTTGGAAAACCTTATGCTACTTATACAAAAATGCTCAGTTATCACTGGATAGGAATATACAACTTGACAACATAAAGCTGATTAGGAAAAATGAAACTCTTTGAGATTAAATGAGATAACTCTGTATACATGAAATAGTGCCTGGAAGAAGAATGAAATGTGTTTACATATACTTACATTTATAACATATACATTTTAATTTGTAATAGGCTAACGAAGTCATTCAGAGTATGCAGTAATTAAAACATGAAATAATAGCACTTTATCGCTAATATCTACAATTAGAATTCAGTGAAATCTTTTTAAAAATAAAAGCAAGAGTTGAACAGCCTCCCAAATGCCAGTAAAGCTTTTATTGACATATACACATACATACACTTGTATATATGAAAGAAAAGAAAGTATAGTGTGGTTCGTTGCTAAGTGCAATATTTGAACCAAGCGAGAGACCGAGAGTGTACAGTGTTTTAAAAGATATGTCAGTTGTTTGCCAGCTGCCTAATCTGAAAGGGATTCTTCCAACCACAAATCTCGCTCTCTTTAGCTAGCTTTATTAAAATGAAAGCAGTGCTGCAGTGATACAAGAATTCCAGCAAATGAACTTTTCTTAATATACAAGCTGTATATTTATGTATACATTAGGGCAGAGACTTTCTGAATCTTTTCCTCGCAGCCTTACAGTTCATCAGCTCCTTTCTATACAAGATAAGCCTTTAGCTCTGAATTATTTATGCAACTGTTCCTCAAATCCCTAATAGTCTGCGAACCACAGTTACATGTGTTCAGAATAATATTCTCGTTCACATTTTTAGTGCATGTGCAAACACTGATGGAGTAACAGATGTTAACATTACAAGAAAGATTAAATATAAATTGAGGTTTGGACCATTAATAATACTGGTAGAATATATAACTGACACTGATAAAACTAACAGTGATAGCCATTATAGAGATATAAAGCCTGATCCAGAACCTGGACTACTGTAAAAAGAAATATGGAAAATCACATAGATCTTAACCAAATCTGAGAGAGCATATAGGTTTGAGCAAGAAGTAACTTTGGTAAACATGCTGAATAATTCTTTACTACATGACTAATTATTAGATTTTTATCCTGATTTTTTATATACAGTATTTAACTCAAGGGGGAGAACACAGCTAATCTGCCTGCCTCCTATTTTCCCCACAACAAGAAGCCTATGAGGTGGATTGGGCTGGGAGAAAGTGACTGGCTCAAAGTCACCCAGCCGGCTTCATCCCTAAGCCAGGCCTAGAACTCACAGTCTCCTGGTTTCTAGGCCAGCACTTGAACCACTACATCAAACTGGCTCTCATGATCTAACAATCATCTTATGAAAAAGTTGTGCTAGAATTATCCGTTTATTTGTAGACATAAGAAATAAAAGTAGTCATGCCAGAATCATCAGGAAGATATTGTATTCCAGACCAACACAATTGTGTTAAAGATGGACACAGAATGGCTGGAAGGACATGAGAAATTAGACCCAGTGATCAAAAAGCAAAATGTTCATTCTGATCCATGAAGATGTTATGGAATATTGTTATCTGAAGCTAATATTCCAGAGATACGAAGAAAACAATTTGCATCTCCCCAAAAGGGAGCAACATTGCTATATTGTCCAGATTTGGATTAATTGAAAATTACTGGTCACAATCCAATACATTATTCTACCAAGTACTATAACGAGAGTGAGGAGAAAAGGCTACTTAATTAAGCTTCTCATTTATGTCATTGCAGGAAGAGAGCTGTATTAGTCTCTGGCAGCCAAAAAGCAAAAAGAGCTGGTAGCATTTTTTCCAGCTAATACATTTTCTTAAACTTCATTAGATGCATGGAGTGGATTAACTGGTGTAGGATTTAAATTTAAACTTAACATTATTACCTGCATGTCCTCCCATCAGC